TCAGCGCCCACATGAGCTTTTCAGCTAGCTCACTCAGTCACATTGGTCCACAGTCAGCACGTACGCCTTTTTGGCCAAGTGTGTCGTCTGTCTTAGGAATAACTGCTCGGTCTCGCCTCAGAGGATCCAGGTCGTGTGCTTGGTGAGAACAAATCCTCCTCCACCGTTCTCTGGGAGTGAGATTGGGACTCTGGGGAGAGATTGTCGGTTCGTCTTTCGTACGTTCGGTCCCCGATTCGTTGGGTCCGAAGTCATTGGTTCCGAGGCCGTCGGTTCAGGAGTCAGTGGTTCCGAGGTCATCGGCTCCAGAGGCGTCGTCTCCGGATCACAGGACCGATTCCTCTGTAGTCTTAGCCTGCTTGGACTTCGAGTGCGTCACCACGAAAACATCATCTTCTAATCCTTCTGGGGAGGGCTAGGGTATGTTCCGAGCCGTGGCTAAGAACGTGCACTCCACCAGCGACTGTTCTCGGGGGGATCGGGCCCTTCATCAGTTTTTCGTGGACTCGGTTCTGGCCTTGGAGCAATGCGTTGTCCGGGGTCCGTGACTTCCAATGATGTCTGGTCTTGAATGACGAGCTTGGAGATGTAGTCTGCAGCAGTATTAAAGTATCTTTTCACGTGCACCAGGCGCAGGAACTTGAATCTTGCTTGGAGCTCTTCAGCATCCTTGAGTAACCTCAACAGGTGGGACTGGGTGGAGCCGATGACACCTTGGAGCTGCTGGATTGAGAGTCGGGAGGGTCTGACACGAACAACTCCTAAACGCTAGCCAGAAGTATTCGGCCTCATTCACGGCAGTTTCTTCAGAACATGTCCCGTCGCTGCGACAATTTCCCAACTCAAGAGGTTCCAGATGATGCAAGCGGCAGCCCCAATCCCATCTCTCTTGGCGGCTCCGACGAAACTCAACAGCTGCCCGGTGTGGTCACTAGAGAGCATTTCGAAACTAACTGGTGGTGGCTTGATTCGGGAATCCTTTTCTGGAACCAGGGTTTCGGCGACCTCATCGAGACGTTCCCGGGGGCTGATACCCGCCCCCAGGATCGCCGCCAGACCATCTTCATCGTGCTCGACTCGTCGAATGTCAACGTCCCAGGGAGACAGATTGGCCCCTCACTTGAGGCATCTTCCGTCCACCGTCTAGAACTTGTTGTGAAACGGGATCAGAAAAACCTATGAGAGTGCTGGATCCGGCTTGACATTGTTCCCATGACACCGATTAAAGGAGGGGGTACTCCTATGATCCGTGATCGTCTGAACTTCCTTACCTTGTGTACCCGTAGGTAGGGCTGGATCTTGCACCTCCGGTCACAGCAGAAGATTGTCCAAGTGATAAAGATCGATCATCTTGGTGAGACTCAGGGGGTGTGATTAGCAGCGCGTTAGCCTTCACTCTGCTGCGGGTTATGGGGATCCGGGGACTACACGAATATCCGAGTATAGATCACTGGTGATCGGATCTGGATCCGGACCGTGTTGGGTTGTCTTGGTGTGTTGTCGTTGAGGCTTTGTTGTTCGTGATCTTGAAGTATCGACGACCAAACGGTAACTGTCGTGGATCCGGAGCTTGCACGTATATAATAATTCACTAGGTAGTCGGATCTGGCCAATATATTATCCATTTATCCAAACTAACACTAGATCATATGTTCTAAATACGCGGACACCTTGTAGGGCCAATGTAAACTCCCTATCCGAGGTGTCCGTAATACACGCAGTGTGATCGAATAAAGAAAACAACCACGTGTGCCCAACGATGCAAAATTCGATTCTCTGTTAAGTCCTATACCATTGCATGTGTTACCTCCACAACACCGGATCTGCATACTTGATTACATCTTCTATGGGAGCATCTGGTAGATTCAGGATCTGCGCGTAATCATCTTTTGTCGACATTCCAATGTCAGATCGCCGGATCCGGATCCTAACTTGAACTTCGTCGTCGTCGACAATATGTTCGCGATCCATTTTCGTGGAGGTCACTTAATCTAAATCTGTTCAGGATCCAGCTCAGCCTTCGTACTTCTCTGCGGATCCGGCTCCGCGGGTACTCACCAACGTTCGCTACTTGCGAATCTGAGCCTTCCGATGCCGGATCCGCAGATGTATCTTCATGTCCGCATCTCTCGCATTCTTATTTCCACACATCCATTCTCATCACTGATCGTCCGTTCTCACGGAGGATCCGAACCGGCTGGATCCGGATATACGATCACGGTTCTGGATAATGCCCTTCCATCAATCAATCAATTTTATTCACGTGGTAGATCCAATCCTCCTTGCCATAATCGCCCCCTGTCCGCCGTCGTTGCTGTACAACGGTCGTCACTTCGCTACCGTTTCCACCTCGGATTTCATCCACTCAGTTCACTCCATGTCCCATTCCGACCAAGACACCCCCTCCGGGTCGCAGCGTGACGATCCGTCTGGATTACCTTACGCCGAGGACGACACACTGGAGGTTCTGCAACGGATCTCCATCGAGCTTTTCCGCCCACCGGCGATCTAGCGGCAGGAACTGCGATGGATGCCGACGAGGATTTCGCTGGTGCGGAGAATCTCCGAGGTCTACAAGACTATTTCCACGAACAAGACGCGGTAATCGCCTTCACGCAGCAAGAGATCCAGCGCGTTTCGTCAAGATCGCGATTTCGCGATAAACACTCGAGATCGCAGCGACCACGATTTGCCGGAATACTAGAGCTACAGGATGCACAATTTGCAGTCGCAAGTTGCAAATCGTGAAGCCCAAGTTACTCCTTTGGTCGACCAGCGTGATCAGCCGACAAGTGAGCGCAAAGATCTGCTCCGTGACCGCGACGATCTGTCTTCCCAACGCGACGGTCTGGTAGTGGATCTCCAACAATCGAGTGAAGAAATCGTTGATCTCCAGGACGAGCGTCAACGTGGCGACATAGCTCGCGTCGAGATTGAAGAACACCTCAGCACCACAAAAAAGTCCTGAGACACTCCCGAGCTGATATCTCGCGGTTGGACACGGATCTCGCCTCCTCCCGTGATGGTAACCTCAAGGCACCGCTCACCCAAGCCAAAGTGAAATGCGACACCGCTCTCAAGATTCTGATCCGGCGAGGCCGTCCCTCAGTCGAAAAATGCAGAAGCTTATCGACGATCAGGAACAAGAACGAGATCGCCTCGATGCGGTCATGAAGAAGCTTGAGATCACCCGAGAACGGGATCGCCTTCACGTCGACATTACCGCTCGGGGTAAGTCTCTTGATTTCGTACATATGTATCCGGTGTCATCTTGCCCTAGTTAACCTGCGCAGATCACGACGTAACCGTCGCTAGGGAAGCTTACGGACAGCGGGAGCGTACGATCACAGAGAGTACGGCGCGTATCCAGGTTCTCTCTACCGGGATTGACATTCTCACTGTTATTCGGACGGATTTGCGGCATGAGCTTCGTCGGACTCTTCTTGTTCTCGGCCTGATAGCCAACATAATGGGGTCTTCGCCGCCGACTACCTCTCTGAGCCTTGAATCTGTGTCGGATCAAGATGCACCTAGTGAGAACGACAGAGGTACATCACCCAAGGATCACAAGTCCAATTCCCCACCCCCGGATGACCCTTCTCCTGACAACTCGAAATCGCCTAAGGGTCGCCAGGATCCGCCTACCGACGGATCTGACTCGGCTTAGAAAAAACCTGCCAAGCGTTCACGTAGTCCGTCCTCCCCTTCCGGCCCCAGCCCTTTCAAGCACAAAACGCCGGTCATAGGGGATAAAGATGACGATGATCTGACCGAGGAGCGCACGGACGTCGCCATGGGTCGCGGGTCTCCGCCAGATGATGACCAGGACGATACTTATACTCGCCACAGCAGCCACGACAAGAGCAATTGGCCAATTTGATCGAGGCACTTGTGGATTGTGACTTGGCAAATCCGTGGCGAAATGACTACCGCATCTCTTCGATGAATCATCCTGCGCGTCGGATCCCTCGGCTGCTGGAGATGTTCTTCGGAATGGAGAGTGCTCTACACGACCCCCTCCCGATCCCGACGCACCCGCCAGTCCTGAGGCGCCTGCTAATCCTGTTCCGTAGATCTGCGATCCTCGTAGCAATATTTGCCTCTCTTCGCTTTTACTTTGTCGATCTACCTGTATTCCTTTCGTGGAATCTCTACCGGCTCAGGATCTGCATTCCACGATATTTTGGATCTTGATCTTGGTCATCTTCAGCATATCAAAATATACCCATGCATAAGCACACCTTCCTCCAATCTGCTTCCTACCGGTAGATCATTCATATCACTTTCCTCGCCTCAGTGGCCAACTCACTAATGGGGATCCTAACCTTGCGGTTCCACGTAGACTGCATCACTCCAATTTGATTCTGATTGGCGTGATTCCACAAGAATTGATGGAGTATTGCCCCCCAGTTGAGATCGACCTCATCGATCCAGGTCGGATTTTCGTATCCACGCCAGTGCACTAAGAACTCACGTAGGATCCGGACATACCTTGTTCTTCTGCTAATCCTGATATTAGTGCTCTTCTCACTCATCTGGATCATGATCTTTGGTCCAGCTATCTCCAGGTAGGAGTGCTTCGTCGAAAGCCAGCCGATGTTGATCTTGCACAGTTAAGACGTGCTACCAGCCAACTTGGAAATTATCGGACAGGCTTGAACTTCGACACATAGACCACTGGGAAGATACTGTATACAGATCCCGCGAACTCGATCTTCACTGCATGTGCCCCCGATCTTCTCAGCCACACGGAACGGGCCTTGGCACAGATGCGCGAGCTTCTTGCATACCTCACCCCCCCCCCCGATCAAGGTATAACCAGATACGAGAGATGTGGGCTTACTATATCGTTGTGATGATGCTTACCGCAAGCGTTGATTGACTTGCTCTCGAGCCTGCTGATAGTGCATCTGGATCTGGTATCGCCAACCCCGCGGATCCCGATCCTGTCTTCTTGTACTTCCCATCGGGATCACCGCCACCAGTGTGGATCTCGGATCTCAGCCGTGGACAATGTAAAGCGGCGTCTCTCCGCGGATCCGATCCCGAGCGGTGTTGATCTCGAATGTAAGTCGCTTCGCATATTCGTTCCAATCTCGCTGATCCAAATCTTGGGCATACATCTTAAGTGCCCTTGTGGTAGTCTGCACCATCCTTTCCGCGGATCCGTTCGCCTGAGGTCTATATGCCATTGTTGCACGTTGAAGCTGATCCAGGATTTTGTAAACGCGCGAAAGAAATCGGACATAAATCCGGGTTCGCAATCATGGCGGATCACCTCGCTGGCACCAAATCGGTGGAACACACATTCCTCGTAGGATTCTGCCACAGCCTGAGCCGTCCTGGATACGCTCGCTTTGGCGATCACATAGCCGGAGAAGAAATCTTCGAAGACCAGCAAATCTGTGTTGCCCTTGTCTGATCTAGGTAACGAGGGGGTGTGGTCCATTGCGATTATCTGGAATGAATAAATCGCTCGAAGATTATCCGGCGATTCGCCTTGGATCTGAGGTCGCCCTTTCCTGTTCTCGCAGTCAACATATTCACCGACATATCACAGTACACTCCTCTCCAGTGAAAATGATCCCGAATCCGATCGTAAGTACGGCCGATCCGCTGATGCCCAACTTGAAGGCTGGTATGGTAATGGTGTAGAACATCTTGATGCAATGATTCCGGCAGCACCAGTCGCATTATCTTGTCCCGATCCGCAGTCGACTTCTTCGTAGTGGGACAGTAAAAAATAAGATCATGCTGATCCACTTCATGGTTCATAGCAATGGATCCGTACGTTCTAGCCTCTTCCTGCGTCAGATCACGTACTTCGCCGGCCAGATATATCTTTACACCATGGATCCACGGCTCGTCGTCATATGCCTGTCGGATCCGCTCGATCCTGATGTCTCTGATCACTTCTTCACACAGCACAGGTGGGTTGGATTCCGATCTCACACCGGTTCTGGCCCTCGATCTAGTTCTGACATCCGCGATATGTACAGTCGGACCTTCGGATTTCACCACAAATATATCGTCCAGTCGGTTCAACGTGATCAGATCCTGGACTGACAATGCAGATTTCTGAGTAAAACCTTCAACCGCAGCCGGATCCACCACCGATATTTCTGATTTGTCTTGATCTTGATCGTCCAACACCTCCACGACGATTACGTGTGATATAGAGTCGTCGTCTGCGATAGACGACAGATCCGATTCATCGCTTGCGACAGGTGCTGGATTTAACAATTGATAATCCGTTGATGACTTGTCCGACGTCGGATCATCCGAACGCGTGTAGTCAGGCATGTCTTGATCTCCACTTGATCCGACCTTCAGACACCCGATCGCTGTCGGTCTTGACCACTGTAGTATTGGGCGCGGAGTTCCATACTCGGGGCGCTCCACCGCAGGTCCAGGCGGATCTTCCGGTTCCGGATCTGCAGATCTGGTACCCACGTTCGCTTCCACAGTCCGATTCTGCCAGCGCCGGGGTTCCACTGAGATGAAGCCCGGTATTCGCGGGACATGATCGCCGGCCAGCCAGATCCCGCTCCGCAGGTCCTGATGGAGGATCAACCCCTTCTCGCCGACGTTCGTGATCCTCATGTATCTGATCTTTCCTGGTCCGTTGACTACCATGGGGACCCAATAATCTTTACGGGTGACCCAGAATTTCTGACGATCCAAGGTCCTCAGACGTAATGGGAGCTCCACTGATTCTACTGGCTGGATCCTCAGGTGTTGCCCCAGATTCACGACCCTGGCTTCGTTGCTGTAAAGCAGTCGCCTTCGAGTAAGCTGGATCCGGACTTCGTCGGGCAAACGGATTGATCTGTGAGCGAGATCCAAGCGGGTTCCGGCCGGAACCGTGAAGTCCATGCCCAGGATAGCTTCTTGGTCAGAGAGATCCCTCACCCAGATATCGACGAAATAAATCAACGCTCCTGCCAGAGTTACCTTGATCCACGTTCTTTCTTCCGTTCGATACACATTTTCCCCGATCCCCACACAATCTTGGATCTGGCTCGAGTCGATGTAGCACCCAACCTTGCGAGTAAAAGCGGTGTCCACGATGAACACCTCTGCACCAGTATTTAGGAGTAAGATCGCTTTCTCACTATGAATCTTGTCGCCGATCTTGGCTTGACGTGACCACTTACCCGTATCATGGTGTTACGAGTATCCACGGGATTCTCCAGGTAGGAGATCCACGTCGACTGAGATCCGGATCGTCGATACTCTGCGATCCGACTAGGCTTTGTGAGCTCGACTGTAGTCTCCTGATCCGCAGACTTGAACCACAGATTCGAATCCTGCTGCTTCCAATAACCTCTGGATTCGTTTGGACGAAGATCCACAGTCATGGTCACATCGGATCTGGCATATTCATTAACTTGGCGAAGACTGGAAATCGTGAAGGTATGATTCTCATGCAGATCACATGTATTATCGGGTAGTTCTCGCTGCTTGCTAACTTGATCTACCGATGTCTTATGCACAAATGCGTAGATGCAATATCTAGAACGCTCGGCTCGTATCGGGTTCCACCCCGACGAGCGTCCTAGTTTAACATCTTCTCGGTAGCTCCAGGAAGCATACCCATATGTTTGGTCGGATTGAACAATTGATGGATCTGGTTGTTAAACTCCTCTACTGGGCATTTGCCAATGTCATGGAGCTCACCACACAAAGAGGCAATGATCCGCCGGATGACCTCGTTTGCCACAATTGGTACAAGTCGCGCCTCTCCAGCAGCCGAGTTTGGAATGCATTTTGGATCCGCAGTGCGAGCATCGGTTACGGTTGAATCCGTCACCCTGGCTGTTCGATTAGTGCTCCTAGTGATTTGGTTCATGGATCCTGGATCTTGATGCCCCGGATCCGGTATGATTGTCTTGTTTTCTTCCTTCGGAACAAATTCCTGATTCGTGTCGAGGTAGATCCGGCGATTACTGTCCATCTCAGAGTTGGATCCGCGGTGGGTAGCTTGGATCCGGATCGCTCGCACTTGTTTGGCAGGAGCAGATGATACAGCTTTTGACGCCTTCTGTTTGAACTTGCCGGATCTGAATGCAGCCTTTTTCAGCCGGCTTTTGGCCCGATCCCACCGAATGACGGACTTCTTCCTGAACATCCGCATCCGATATGTCCGCCGATCGGCCAGATCCGGATCCTCCAGTGTTTTGATGAAGTGATCCATATGTTTACGGCGATCCGTGGTACTACCATCCTTAATCTTGAGTCGCGCACACAGTCCGGCAACGTTCAGTCGATATAGATAAACCAGCGATGATTCATCGGATCTGCGACGTGCATGGTAGTATTATCTCGCCACTGATACTCCAAGTCCGCAGTACTGGATCTCGTTGGATCATGATGGACCCAGTGGATCCTGATGCAGCGGTAGCCACAGCCGCTTGGGTAGGTGCGGGGAAGTTGATAACATATTCCAACTAGGTCCTCGATCCGATGATCGGATCGACTCCATCTCAATGTCCCATGATCCAGTATTCTGGGGTTCCGCATCAACTGGATCCGCACCTGCATCTTGTTGTTCGGCTAGAAACTAATCCGTCGCAGCGTTGAAGAACTTCTGCAATGTTCCAGCGGACAGATCTGAGCTCGACGTGATTGTGGCTTGGTCAGTCGGTTTTGCTCCTTTAGGCTGGCTGTCAGATATGGCTGGGCTTGGACGCCAGATCTTAGATCTCGCCTCCAGCATTGATGCGCCTGAAGGTCCCAGCGACATGCGCCGGGGCTCCGATGAGATGTCGGATTCGTTTTGAGTAGCAGATGCAAACCGTCAAGTTATCCCCTGTGTCGATCTGGGGTGATAATACCGGATCCGCGGTCTGGGGAACTTCGCCAACCAAGACCGGCAGCTTTTCGAACAGAACTCAACTTGTGGCTTGTATCGCAGTCAAATCCAGATCGAACAGATCATCCATCTTGAAGGATCCGGGGTCATGCCGGCTTCCTTCAGCAGCCTGATCACGACTGTTACAGCGTCGAGCCTGTCGGATACTGCCCCTGTTGTAGTCACCGGGTCCTTTGGATCCGCGATCTGCTTCAGCTTCATAATCCTCATCACTGGGCCTTGACGTACGAAGCCGCGCAGCTCCTTTCGGTGGTACCAATACTTCCGATCCTCGTCAAACCAGCCGTATCCGTCCTGGTCTCCATCATCCTCGGTCTCAGGAGCCTTCATCTTCTTCCGCCCAGAATTGTAACTTGGCTTCCGACCCCAGATCGAGAGGCTTGCGTGTCCTTGGGCATATATAGGATCGGCTTATCCGGATCAATAAATGAATACGGTTTAGCCTTCACCTTTGTTTTGATAGCTGATCTTGACGCGAGTCCATGTCGGAGACCTGTGGAAGTTGAGGTTTCACTTCCAGATCTGGATCGGGATCCAGATCGTCGTCATTTCCGTCGACAGAGTACCTCCGGACACTCTGCCGATCCGATCTAGCGTTCAACGATCTCGTCGTCGACCCGACGACATATCGTTTCGTTGTTTAATCTTCACTTGAACATCTTCTTCAGTTCTCCTGGAGGATCCGGGTCTCCCAGATCCGGATATACGATAACGGTTCCGGATAATGCCCTTGTTGCCTTTCCATCAATCCATAAATCTTATTCACGTGGAATTTCCAATCCACTTTGCCACAGACTTGAACAGCCGTGCCAACACCGAGTACCCGGTGTACACGCGAATTTTGCTTTTTCGGAACAGCTGGTAATCATCGTGTGGCATGTGCTCAGGACGCTAATACCTCCTTGTCGACGGGATGGTACCAAGCTCGGCGTCCTGAAAAACTCGCTCCAAGAACAGCACGGGTGGTATGGTGCCGTCGTAATCCTGTCACAAAACCGCGCTGATGGCCCAAGGGTTAGCGTGCAGTATTATTACATACTGTCTTCCGGGGTCGGGATGCTGGAGCAATTGTGTCCACACTAACCAGTCTTTGAGTATGTCGAACGTATACTTAGGCTTCTCCAAATCTCGTTCGGAACAGAGTTGTTCGTCCGGTACTTCGTAGAGGGTGGCTACGAGCACGGGTAGATCTTCGATAAAATTGGCGTAGTAATTGAGCTCCCGAGAAAGGACTGTACTACCTTGTGGGCCATCGGGAACGACAAGTTGAGGAGGACCATTTCCGCTAGTTTCGGGTAATTCCGGATTCCGTCCGAGTTGATGTCGTGCCCGAGGTACTTGCATTTCTTGACCCCGAACTCTCTCTTCGGAAGGCTCACGGAGATGTTCCTGTACCGCAATCGGTACAGGAGGGCATTTTGAGTTTTGCACAGGTCACCCCAGGACGGATCCCCGTAGATGATGTCATCTATGAACTAACTCCGGGCCAGCACAGGTCCCATCTGCTCCGGGGCAACCCGATTCTGGTGGATCACGGTGTTGGTGCTGATCCTGGAGACCCCCCCCCGACGCTC